CCGGCGCTGGGCACGGCAGCGGGGCGCCTCGCTCTCCTCATTTACCTCCTCGCTTCATAGTAGAAAAAAACCCCAAACCGTAGAAATCCTCCTTTCCTTGCGATTTCGGGGCAGGCTGGAACTGAGTTTGCGAGTCCTCCAGTGCCTGAAGTCTGATTTATGAGCGAAAGGGGATGTTTCAGTCCTTGCTAGCTGTAGCCAGATCTGTATCCTCTGTTGCTGTATCCCGGCGCTTCCACATATATCGCTCAGAAATACCCTCCAAAGCTCCATTTCTTAGCTCCGAGCGCTGGGAATATTTAGTCCGATTTTCTCAACCCGAATAATGTCGGAGGAATTATTTTTCCTCCATCGAAATATTTCGGGTAGCGTAACGACCGCAAACGGGGAAAGGGAAGGGCCCTCGCTTGAGGTCTGTTACAGCAGGTAGACCGCCCCCAAGGAAGCCCCTCGCCGTCTCAGCGCATCTCGTGGGACCATGCCAGCAGCCGAGGGGGCTGGAGCCCTGCGGGATGTCCCGCGGGTGTTGCGACGGTCTCTCTGCGCCTGAGGGTCGAGCGTTTCTCGTGGGAAGCGGAGAGGCGGCAACGAGCGGGGCAGTGGGGCGAGGGCAGGCAGACTTCCCGGAGCAGGTACGGTACAGCGGTGATCAAAGGTACATCACAGCCAGGTGCCTCCTCGCTCCGAGGAGAATAAACGAAAAAAAACCCTACAACCAACAATCAAAAAACAAACCAAAAGGAAACAGCCCTCCATCAGCGAGCTGGGGTTTTGGCAGGATTGGGAATTCGTCCGAGGAAGGTGTGGTCTTTCTCGGTTACTTGATAGCGAAGCGAACGATACATTTAAATCTAATCACTCGGTGTAATAAAAAACCACGGCGAGACAGGCGCTGGGAGATGCGGAATTGAAACCCGGAGAAATACCACACATGAAGTGTCAGCCCCTTGTTTCCACAGCTTGTGTAATGCTCCGAAAGAAATACCTGTCAGCTTTGCGACTCTGCAGACAACGTGTGGGCAGACCTTCGCAATTAGGGACAATTTATGTTTTAATTTCCAGATTATTTTTTGTGAGTGCCTGCAAAGTGTCTTTAAACTGCAAATGTGCTTTTAGTTTGCGAGTTTAAATATGGCTTGAAAGAGAATTTTGAAATGGGAAAATTCTTCTTGAATGTGGTTTGGGTATAATTTGCAGTGATGTAAAGTTAAGATCTGAGCCCTGATGAATTGGCTGGGAGCCCAGTACCTGATCTGCCATGAAAAGGGAAACTGTGTAGCCTTCGCTCACCCCCGTCTCGCCTCAAAGCCCAGGCTGCGGCGAGAAAGCGACCCAGGAAGCGAGAGAGGCTTCACGCAGGGAGCTGAGGGAAACGTCCCAACCCAGCAATTCATTTAACCTTGGAGATGCTCAAACCGCAGCCACAGCACCGAGTAGAAAAGCGTGGGAGAAGGCGGGCGGGGAACCGGCGCAGCCCCCCTGGCCCGGCCCACCCGCGGGAGCACCGGGCATATCGCTGCCTGGGCGCTTCGGGAAGGGCAGAGCGGTGTAGGGCTGCTCTCTTCCCCCTTCACTGATACATCCTTAAATTCCAGATAGACCTACTCCCTCGTTCTGACCCTCCTTCTCGCTCCCAATATTTTATTTTCGCCCGAAAAAAATAAACTACGGAGAGTCGAAATAGAACTATTAAGTACTGCGGAACTAACATTAATCTACATTAACGTTACAAATATAAACACGCCTCTCTGGTGCATTTTCTGCAGTGTGGCTTTCCCCAGCCCGGCTGGACGTGAGGTGACTTTGCTGCTCTCACCAAGTATTTCGGTAACTGGAATAGCGCTAATGACAGCCTCAACTGGCCTAAGAAAAAGGCAGATCTCGATCTGGCTGTTAGAAACCCCGGATTACACCCCAGCCGCTCCTTGGGTTTAACGGAAAACTGAAGAAGGAAAGGAAAGGAAACCAGCCCCGATCCGTGTGCACTCCTCACAGGGAGAAAGAGGGACAGCCAGCGTGTCCCCACGCCGTCTCTGCTGCCGCTCTTTGTGTGCTGGGAAGACGGCATCTTCTCTGGAACAAAGGGTCCCAACCTAGAGCCGTCTCTCCCGGTTTTGTGGAGTCTCCGGAGGTCGCGCTTTCCCTCCCCGCCCTCCGTTGTTTTTCCCACCCTCTTGACTGCGCTGGGAGCGAGCCAGTACTGGTTTAGGATTATGTATTCATCTGGAATTATTAGGTTACAAGAGTGAATAAATAGCGTTTATCTGATCGGATTCAAAGCTGCTCATTTGAAATAACCGGCAGCCCTGCCCCTTTCGGAAAGGGGCGCGGGAGCCGGCAGCTGCATAAGCCAGTGGGACTTTGCTAGCAGAGTCATTGCTGCCGAAACCCGCTTGACCGGGGGCACATTTCTCTGCTATTCGGCCGTGTCCCCAGCATGCCATGCCACCGAGCCAGCCGGAGCAGCCCTGCAACGCCTTCAACCCGTGCCAAACTGGAGTTTCAAAGGATGCTGAGGAGTGCACACCCTCAGCAAGCGTTTTGACACCTGCAGTGCCAGAGCTGGCTTCCCCCTAGCACCGCCGTATGACAGAGGTCTGCAGACCCTTTAAAACCCGTTTTGAGCATCGAGGACACGTGGGGAATTCACACTCTCCACACTTCCCTCTCGTCTAACCCGCATGCTTGGATGTCACCCCCAATAGGACGATTCCCCGCACCGTGGCTGGTCACCTGCGTGAGGGCTCCTTGGGAAGGGGACGGGGTGGGCGTTGTCACCTCCATGCCCCCCATTCCCCGGGAAAGGGCCGCCCTTTTCCTGAAAGCTCGGTCTGCCAGGCAGTGCTGCTCTGCTCCTGCACCCCGGCAGGAATGCGGGGGACCCCAGGACCGTGACACTGGCCAAGAGTAGGAGAGGGGAGTGTCCGGAGGGACAGCGGGCTGCAGGCAGCACTCTCCTCACGTCCACCCCATCGTAAGGAGTATCAAAGAGAGCAAGCATCTCCCTTGAAACCAAGCGTGACATTCCCCTTTCCATTCCCTTAGCAAAAAGAGCAATTAAAAGCGAATCTATGCCCAGGCCCGGCTCTGCCCACACCGCAAAACCAGGGTTAGGGACAGGGAAGGGCGCTGATCTTTTTTCCTCAACGGTCGCTAGAGCTCATGAAGGAAGGTCTGGGGCAGTTCGGCAGGGCCAAGACATCCATCTGTGCCCTGTCGAATGTACGGGCATCTGACAGATGCTGGACGCAGAAAGAAAACAAAGACAACAAGGAGGAGGAGAAGCAGGAAGAGAACCTGTGCTTTCTTACCCGACGGGTGCACATCCCCTTCTGTCTGAAGCCCCCAGTCCTGCCAAGGACCCCCTTGAAGGAAGGGGCAATGGTCCCAGAGATCTGAGCTGCCGGACTCTTCTGCCGCAACCCAAGTACACCTTAACCCCCGGCCCCGATGGCCCAAGCCTGTGAAGGGGGGAACTATTCCCCCCTTGCCGCCTCAAATCCACAATGGACCAAATCCTGCTCCGTACTTGCAGCGCTGACGAAACCGTCCAGCAGTTCTAGGCAGCTCCCCATGGATTTCACTTGTATTTTCAGCAGCTCGATAGAGCAGCTGTTGTCGTCACCCGGACTGTGACGGCATTTTTCGGGCTCTTTGCGTGTTTTTTGCAGTCTCCTCCCGCCCTCCCCCCGAGCGGGATGCGCGGCCGGCCGGGCGGCCTCTCGCCCCTCGCTGCGTTAAGGAGCAGCCCCGCTGGGAGGAAACAGCTAAGCCTGAAGGGGGAGGCGGCGACAGGGATGCGGAAGGCCTGGGTTCAAATTCCCCGGGATGCTTGAAGGGCCTGAGCGATCTCCCCACCTCTCCCGCCGGCGCGCAAGCCCCGTGGAGGCGGGGAGGCTCCGGTCCGCCAACTCCCTCTCCCGCTGACCACCCCCCGTGCCACGCAGGGCGAGGTTGGGGCCTCAGGCGTGCTCCGGCCGCCTGGCTCCGGGGCAGGGCAGGTGTGCGGGGCCTGGCGAGCGCCCAGCTCCTGAATGGATCCTGGGATGCCGCGTGGGTGCGCGGCGCCGGGCAGGCGGCAGGGCCGCCCACGGCGGGTCCCCGCGGGGCGGGGGGGACGCGCTCAGCAGGCAGGCAGGCTACGCCAGAGGGTCCCGTGGCCTGGCTGCGGGGCAGGTCTTTTTCCCAGCAATTCCCGCTGTCCCTGGTGCACTCCACGCTCCATCTCCTTGCTGACGTCTACGGGAACGCGCAGCGACGCAGGGCGACTGTCGAGTATGCTAATCCGCACTGATTAACTGCACGTTAATCCGGATTGATTTTTACATCGTCGTGGTGCGTCTGAAGATGTTGGCTTGCATAAATCATCCCCTTGTCCCTCATGACCCCCAGGAGGCTCCCCCAGACCTGTCAGGTAGAGCCGAGGTTGTGAAACACACTGATTAGGAATCACAATGACCTTTGATATCGATAAATAACAGGCGGGTGTATATTTCTTTAGTATCTGTTTTTATGCCTGGAGCGGGCTGAGTTTGGAAAACTGGTGAGAGGCTGCAGAACAGCGGCTTCAGTGACATTTTTACTATAGAAATCTACCCAAGGTTTACTAGCTTCTGGGGAAGCACAGGGGCTTTGGGAATTTTTGTATTTGCTGGGTTGTAAACATTTTATTGGAAAGCAGCTCAAGGAAATCTGGTTTGCTTTCTTGCGCTGCACTTTGTACATCGATGTGTCAAAAAAGAAGTCCAGGTTTTTCTCTTAGAGAATAGATACGTATATATATATATATACATATATATACGTATCTGCATAATGCACGTGGGCACACAAATGTTTCCAGTCTCACACTGCTGGTGGGACTGATAGGCAAAGGATGTGCGTGGAGCACAGTGTCCCTCTGGTGTTGGAGAGCGCTCTGATGCGGGTCCTTTCCTATTGCTTCTCCTTTTCCTCCTCTCCCCGCCCTCCCCTGGTCCCAGTCCGGCTGGGGGGCGGGGGTGAGGCGGGCAGGAGCGGTCTCGGCCGGGCACGCCGGCGATGTTGGGCGCCCTTCTCCGCCTGGGAGACCTCGCGGCAGATCCCCCCCGAGCGCAACTGACTGTAATTATTTTTATCTCGCAGACGATCTCTCGCCCGCTCCCTTGAGGCGGCAGCAATATGTGTTTGATGTGTCGACCCTCTCGGAGACGGAGGAGCTCGTGGGGGCCGAGCTGCGCCTGTTCCGCCGGGCCCCCCGCGGCCGCCCGCCGCTCGCCACCCCGCTGCATGTGCAGCTCTCCGCCTGCCTCTCGCCGCGGCCTCTGGACTCCCGCGCTCTGGACCCGCGGGCGGCCTCGGACGCTGGCTGGGAGGTGTTCGACGTGCGGCAGGGCCTGCGGGAGCAGCGGCCCTGGAAGCGGCTGTGCCTGGAACTGCGGGCCTCTGCGGACCGCGGGCCGCGGCGCTGGCTGGACCTACGAGGCCTGGGCTTCGGGCGGCGGCCACGGCCGCCGCAGGAGCGGGCGCTGCTGGTGGTCTTCACCCGCGCCCGGCGGCGGAGCCTCCTCGGGGAGCTGCGCGCCGAGCTGGGCGCTCCGCCGCCGCCGCCCGCCGCTCGCCACCCGCCGCCCCGGCGCCAGCGCCGCGCCGCCTTCGCCAGCCGGCACGGCAAGCGGCACGGCAAGAAGTCCCGTCTGCGCTGCAGCAAGAAGCCGCTGCACGTCAACTTCAAGGAGCTGGGCTGGGACGACTGGATCATCGCCCCACTGGAGTACGAGGCCCACCACTGCGAGGGGGTCTGCGACTTCCCGCTGCGCTCCCACCTGGAGCCCACAAACCACGCCATCATCCAGACCCTCATGAACTCCATGGACCCCGGCTCCACGCCGCCCAGCTGCTGTGTCCCCACCAAACTGACTCCCATCAGCATCCTCTACATCGACGCCGGCAACAACGTGGTGTACAAGCAGTACGAGGACATGGTGGTGGAGTCTTGCGGCTGCAGGTAGCGGGCGAGACGCCCCTCGGCGGCAGCCGGGTCTGCGTCTGGCGGAGGAGCGCTGGCAGCGGCGAGCGGGGCCCCCGCCCCGCGCCCGCCCGAGCGCGGCTGGGGCGGAGGGACCGGCCGAGGGCGGGCGGTGCCCGGTGCCGGTGTCCGGTGCCGGTGTCCGCGGCGGTGCCCGCGGTGGCGGCGGGGAAGGGCGTGCGGGCCGGGCAGGCGGCGAGGCCCCCACCCGGTCCCTTCCCCGCTGCCGTCTCCTCCCCCCGGGGTTTATCTGGCGATCTACCCTCCTCCCTCTAAGGGTGAAGGCAATTTACCAAGTACAAAAAGAGTCGGGGGAGGGAGAGGGAGCAGACTGATCCCTCTCTCTGAAGTTGCTCTGAAGAGAGCTGTTTCGTTTCTGCCCTCTCTCTTTCACATTCCTGCAAGCTTACCAGCCAGAAATAGCCTACGGCCCCCACCACCCAAAGGGAAAAAAAATGAAAGAGAAAAGGAGAAAAATAAATTGCTTATGATTGTAATTACCAGCTAGGTTTCATTTTAAGATGGCAAAGAAGAGCGAAGTGTTACAGAAAGGACAACCGGGGTGGATTGGAAAGAAAACTCCTTCGGATCTCATGAACAGTGCAAGGATGCCATTGCCAGGTCTCTGGGTAGTTCTGGCTCGGCAGCTTTCGCAACTTGCAGCAGTATTATACGAAAATGTTGTGCTGGAAAAGACGTGCTGTGTAAGATTTCTGTTTCTTTCCCACCCTTGGTGTCAGCTGTGGCTTCACCTGAGGGAAGTGCACTTCAAAGTATGCCTAGCGCTTTCTTAATGTAACTATTATGTTCATAGTTTCAGGCTTTTCCCCACTGATTTCTAGAATTGTTGGCTTATCTGGTTTTGCAGAGCTACAAACTCGTGGAAAAAATTAAAGAGAATAGAATAATAATATAAAACGCTGATAAAAAGACTCGACGAGGAGCATTAATTTAAAATGCACATTTTGCTTTGGATGCACTGTTGTTCATATAAAAGTTGTAAATATTTGTTTATTTAAACAGACTGAAAAGTGCAAAATGGAGATGAACAACATGCATTTCTTTTTTAATGTACAAAACATGATATGCACTCGAAATGTTATAATTTCTAATATTTTTAAAAGTTTATATTTGAGTTGTACAGAATTAAGCGTTAATCACATATTTCATCCTTACTTAACATTATCATTTTCTTAAGATATTATTACAAGATTTAAATTCTGTGCTAATAATGGAGAAAAGATTTTTTTTTTTTTTACTGTCTACCTCACTATAATGCAAGTATTTACAACTCTAAAGTTATCTGAGGTAAATTAATATTCAGACCATTTTTACAATACACCTTTACTGGACGATACTACAACTATTATTGTATTATTAAACTTTTTTTTTCCAAAAAGTCAGCTTGCTTTTTATATGTTCTATTCTTTGATTAAGTAATTCTGAGTTCTCAAGTAAACATTTGGCTCTAGTTCTAAAATGCTGCACAGTTGAATTGGAGCAAATGCCACTTGAAGACGTACCTAAAGCCATTCCTCCTGTCTGAAGACTTTTTGTATTCACAACGTCTTTAGTTTTGTCTTTCGTATATGCCAGTGGCATAAAGCTGCATTATGTTTTCATGCATTTTATGCAATGATTATTGTAAGTGGGAGAATGCATTAAGGGGAAAAATTCAGGCAAACGTTTGTAAATCTCATCTGTACTGGGGACATTAATATACACTGTATGATGATGATGAGCAAAAGACAATGAATGTTTTATAAATTATATTTATTTTGATGCAATGGGTAATATATTTATTAAATATTTCGTGGCTATCTCTTAGATAATGAAGAACTATTCAATGAGTAGCTGTTTCAGTAAGAGAAGGATTTCCCTCCTCTCTCAGTGATGCGTGCGGAGAAGGTGGTGCAGACAGTGTGGGTGCTGTGAGCCCCATTCTAAGGGAAAAAAAATAAACCCCTCATCTTACATGCAGAAGGACTGAAAGAGCTGCTCACCTCGTGGAACGTGTTTGAAAACAAGGTTCCTTTCATGGAAAGTGAAAATTTTTTTACCATATCTCAAGATCTGATCCCACACGCTTTCTCTGAGCAGTTTTCACTCCCTCGGACTGGTGCTTGAACAAAGGAGTGCAGAATCGGGCCCAAGTGTTTGAATAGCAGCAGCTAAGAGACCTGTAGGAGACTCTAGGCTTAAAGCTGGTACAACTGCCAGAGGAATATTGCTTTCTAATACTTAATAGTGTTTCAAGTGTTCTTTACTAGTAGTGTATTTGGAAATTACAGCTTTAAAAAGAGCTTTAGTTTTAAAGCCAGGTTCACTGCAAGCTTTGGTTGTTCTGATCACACAAGCTCAGTCTTTTGCTGTGGCTCAAGCCCCACAGGCTGCATATATACTCTCTGAGGAAAGGTAATCAAAATATTTAAGACATTGTCCACTTGAAATGAGCATAATGTAAAAATCTGAAATTTTACAAAATTCTCAACTAGAGAAGGCTGAATGAATAACCTCTTTTGCTGTCGAGCAAATGAATTATTGTGTGTACAGACAATGCTTTGGCTAAAACCATACACTGAGGTTTTCAGTGCAGTTTCCTTTCCGTGTAAAACCCAATATTGCTTCTGTTGAAAGTCTGCTTATCACACGTTTGGTGGCAAGCAGTGCTGTCACTGAGTTGTCCTTTCTGCTCCACCTCAGACGTGGCTTTGGGGAGATTCATCAGACAAAGTTCAATTGTGGGAGACCTCAGAAATCTCCCATCAAAAGAAGTCATCAAAGGAGCAACATTTTGCTGTCTTGGATGTACAGTGTGGTGCAGTTTGTACCTTCTCCTACATTAGCAGAATTTTTGGTGACATCTGTAATGGCTAGAAAAGGTTTGAAAGCCCTTTCTCTCAAATGTCTCTGCTTGGTAACCTCCAAGGGAAGTGAAAGAACCTGAAAAAAGGCAAAAGTAGTTAGAAACCGCAGATCTGCTTTGGAGGCACACCTTTTAGATTTTACTTACTGAAAGAGAGGAAACTCTGGCCTTTTTGAGCATGTGCTCTGGATGCTATAGGTAATATAACATTATCTGAGCCCATTTTGACAAGTTTGCTATTCCTAAAGATGGGATCTCTCCTCACTCCCATTTTTAGGTCTGCAGTATTCTTTTGCACAAATCTGAAAAGGAGCAATATGGTGCTGAGGGGGAGAAGTGAAAAGATACAGAAAAAACTGATCAATAGTTTTCCTTCCTTGCACGTCCCTTCCTCTCTCCCACCCTCCCTCCAAGAGATAGCCAGTACATTGAACAAAAAATACCAGTAATTATTTTTTCAGCTTTTACCACAAATGCTGCAAGCCTTTGTTACAGAGAAATCCTAATATGGAAATGCAGCGGATGCACAGCTCAGATCTCTTTGTCCTGCCAAAGTAATACAAAGTTTCTTTTCCATTTCTCAACTCCCCATGCTCAAAATCACATTTAAAAAGGGGAAATTATTTCTTTTATTATGGTACTGGCCAGAAGAGGGAGCAGAATCTATAAAATAGTGGGAATAGACACCGATGGACAGAAGACAGCTGAAGTTGATCTGGCTGATGGTGCGATACATATCAGCAGACTTTACATGATTCATCCATCACACTGGCTGTGATGCTGAAGCACAAGAAAACCATTGACTCATCTTTTAAGTATAGATATGCATTGGAACAAATTCTGAGTACATGAATGAAAAATACAGCGTGAGACTTAAGCCCTTACTTTGTAAGTACAGTTCCTTTTTGGACCGTAGACTCCCTCTTACATTTGTTTGTGGGAGGGGTGCATTTTTAAAAATGTGTAGGTAAAAATTTGGCAAGTCCCCATGAAGAGCTGACCCAGCCTTCCTCCTTATCATCTCCATGTAGATGAGAGGTGGTTCTGTTCGCTGAAATTATAAAATGAGCGTGTTTACTTTTAACATCTCAATGTTTAACCTCAAATGTTAGTTGAGGGTCAGAGTTGATCACACTGTATGAAACATTTTCCTTCTTGACCTCTTAATCTTTGCTTCAGAAGCACATCTGAAGCTTTGAGGAAGTCTAGTGACTAAACTTCACCATTGTCAATCATTCAGAGGTTGGGCAGCAGGACAGCAGATTTCTGTAGTATGTAACTTGTTCTCTCAGCAGCCGTATGCTATAAAGGAGTATACTCCCCTGGAGCAGGGTCCTCTTGTCAGCATTCAGCTATATTATATGATTAGATTTCCAAACATTTGTTCTTGTTTCTTTGCAGTGTCAGCCCCATTGTAAACTGAGGATGTTCCAGCTGTTCAGAATTGTGAGGGAGAAGAATCAACATCTTGTCCCCTCTACGCTCATCATTAGCCTATTCCTTGATAACTGCAGCCTTGAAAAGTACCAATGTCTTAGTTAATACACATTATTATTTATTGTATTATACTGCTGGGAATTAGAAAGAGTTCTCCCAAGGTTTTCAACAGAGCTGATTTTGCACAACATCAGCCCGATGCAGAGTATAGGACTTTATATGTGCCCATGTCCTAGCATTTTGACAAAACTAGTGTTTGTTTAAACTATGAGCGCTGTTAACCCTCTCTCTGGAACTGAGAAGTCTGAAATTAGACTGTGGACCTTTATCCCATAAGACCACTTTCATACTAACAACTTTCTCCACCACTTTTTAGGAAGACCCTTAGGCGAATCTCAGTCCTACGGAGCATTGCCTAATCAGTGAAAAAGCATTGTTTTCCAGAATGTGAGAATTTTATTACTAGAGAAAAATGAGTGATAAGGCTCCTAAGTCAGAAGGTTTTGACTGAGTGGGCAGGAAAGACCTCAGGTGAGTAAGAAAAGTGGAGGTCTGGTTGACAACTCCTTGCTACAGTGGTAGTGGGAAATTGCAGAAAGGTCATAGAAGAACAAAAGGGATAATGTAAGGGCAAACTGCCAGACATCTGAGATGCCTTTACTGTAATGCTATGAGAATGG